CTTTGGCTTCTTTTGGAAGCTGATAACCAGTTTTAAGTAGCAAGGTAGAGTAGGTAACAATGTAGGGATGGGGACCTCAGATCCTGGACCCAGCTGTCATCGCTCATCAGTTGTAGGCCCTTTCATTAAACACGTACAAATCATGTTCTCAACTTTTTCAGTATTAGGGTGAAGTGGCTTTATTGAAATAGCTGTGCTTCCTTTACACTAAGTTGTAAGATACTTTTTTCTTTTATTTCCTGCCTTGCAAAACCTTCTTTCTCAGAATTACTCTTCACCTATGGACTTCCTTCCTGAAATTGTTGTGGAACAAGACAGACTGTTGGCATGTGTTTATGGACTCCTAGCCTCTTAGCAGTAACAAGCCTATTAGGGCTGGGTTGTGTTATTGCCTTTGTATTCACGTCCAACTATTTGTCTGGCTCTCCACAAGAACTCCGTTCTATTTCTCTTTTTAGTCTTAATAACTGGCACAGTCACAACTCAGAAAACATTTTTTGAGTGAATGCTCATCAGCGAGTTTGACTTGTACCAGTGGTAAAAGTATCATTACTAGTCTTTTGATAATTGATCTTCATGTTTTCTAGATGCTTAGGTAGTTTGCATAGGAAACAGAAGAATATTGACAAGTCTTAGATGGCAGGACATGGTATTTGAGTGCAGCCTGTTATTTACAACCTGTTTTTTGTTTGTTTGCTTAAAAGCAAAAGGTGACCAATTAAGCCATTGAAGAAGATGGCCGCACCTTCAAAGGGACAAGAGGACATGATGGACAGAGAGATGTGGGCTTGTCCAGGTCTTAAGGAGTAGTCATGTGGAGAAGATAGGGAAAAGTGTTCAGTGGTAATGGGAAGGGAAAAGATGGTAGAAGCCCTTGAATGCCAGGAATTGCATATTAGAGGATCAGGGCTATAAGCATATATGGTGGAATAGTAGGAAGTGCTGACTGTGGTGGACTAACAGGTCATCTGTAATTCCAGAATCTAAAAATAAAAAGCTCTGAAAGATAATGTCTTTTCATAAATTTGGCATCCAAACTCATGTATTAAAACTTGATCTAGGGGCTGGAGAGGTGGCTCAGTCGTTAGCAGAAGACCCGGGTTCGATTTTCAGTACCCACATGGTGGCTTACAGTCATCTAACTCCAGTTCCAGGGATTCGGATGCCTTCTAATATCTCTGAGCATTAGGCTTGCATGTGGCACATATTCATACATGCAGGCAAAACACTCATAACACATAAAAACAAAAAGACAAAATTTGATCTAAACTTGTATGAGTAATTTACTGGAACTCTTCTTAAATGTTATCCCAAAAATAGTGTGAGTTCTCAGGCCCCACTGGATCTTGTAATACATGACTATGTATTACAGTGCCTTCTAAATTTGCCAAGCTCTGAGTAAACTAAGGTATATACTTGACACTAGGAGTCTTGATGACAAAACTATGGATCAGTTGTTAATAAAAAGGAGAAAGGCTGGCCATAGTGGTGCATGCCTTTAATCCCAGCACCCAGGAAGCAGAGTCAGGTAGATCTCTGAGTTCAAGGTCAGACTGGTCACATAGTTCTAATCTGTCTATGGACCAATCCGTCTATGGCTTCATAGTGAGAGTAACTCTTTAGATATGGTATAGCTTTAGAACCCAGAGATCATTTCTGTTTAAAGAAAATGTCTGGTGCTCATTAGAGGTGGGGAAGTAAGAAGACAATGTTTTAGAATGTTTGATTTTAAAAATATTTAGTTTGTGTATGCTAGGCCTTGCTATGCAGTGCCCAGGAGCTAGGGTTACAGAAAAATTACAGTATGACTTTATTCTTTAGCATTTTTTAAAGGGAAAGGTATAATGATCATTTTAATGTTCTGAAGATGGGGTAGGAAGATAAACTGAGTTCCAAGTCTGGTTAATTTTCTCTAGTGTGAAATTTCTCAGATTTACCTCTGCCACTTCCTATTTCATTAATTTAAGCCCCCTTGTGTTATGATAAATCTTTCCACCAAAAGCCGCCTGAGCCCTACTGCCATGTGGGTGGTCTCCGCCAGCCACCCGAGTTCTGCCCGCCACGTGGATGGACAAAATAATACAGAGACTTATATTATGTACAAATGCTGCTTGGCCAATGACTAGGATTTCTCATCTGTTTGCTCAGTTTTATTTTATCATAAATCTATATATTTTATAAGACTTATCAGATGCCTTCCATTGGCATCCTCCCTTGCCGGTGGATCACATCGTGAATCTGGAGGAAGAATGGAGGAGAAAAAGGGCCTTCTTCCTGTTTGTCCTTCCTTAAATATGAGTCTCCCTGCTATGTCACTTCTTGCCTGGATCACCACTTCTTACTACATTTCCCAGAATCCTCTTTGACTCCTAGTCCTGTCTAACTTGCTGCCTCATTGGCCAAACAATACTTTTTTCAACAATCAATAAGATAAACATAACACAGTACATGCCCCATCACCCTTGGATGCTTGACTGGACAATAAGCAAAGATACCTTGTATCTTGGCTTCATACTTTCCTCTAGTCCATTTTGATTTTCAGACTTCTCCTGTTACCTTTTCTTAGCCCTTTGACTCCATTTCCCTCAAGAACAAGGCCATAGCCCTTGATGAGGATTTCAAGGTCCTCGAGTACTGAACTCTCCCTGAGAATTGCACAGCAGTATTTTGCCTTTAAGTTTAGGTGGGTTGCACCTTTACATATTCAGATCTTATTCCATTTGGTTTCTTTTGCCAGTAAGATAAAAGGGGTGGTGGTGGTGGTGGTAAAAAGCCCAAGGCAAAATGTGGATAAAGAAAAACAAAATAAGAGCTAAGCTAAGACCAAGCATTCAAAACTATTAAGTCTCTGTGTCATGATTTGGGAGCTGTTGGTAGCCCAAAAGAAAAAGCCTGCTACAAACATCTATTGCTCGTCAGCAGTCGCTCTTTTCTTCCCTTTGCTCTTGGCAGTCACTGAACCTCTCCTGTAGATTTGCCTGTTTTGGATACTTCAAACAAATAGATCACACAGCGTGGCCTTTTGGTTCTGGTTTAAAACCTAATACAATGTTTTCAAGGCTTCATGATACAAGATTAGTACCCCATTCCTTTTTATGGCCAAATGACATTCCATTATAGAGAAAGATGACAATTTTTTAAGCTTTATTGTGGTTTACTGGGATTTTTCCCGCCTTGCTTTGAATGCTACATTCAAAGTATTTGAAATTGACAGCATTTAAGATGAAGTGTTCTGTTGTACTACAATTTGGGTAGTTAATTTAATTTAATAACTATAACATTAAGTTTAATGTACTTGGTTGAATTGCAAGTGTATCTTTTCTTTAACCACCCGAGCATTGTGACTTTTGATGTAGTTCATAGTCACTGACCATTAACAGTTGCTCATTTTCAGTCATTTGGAGCTTATAGTGTGTATTACCCACTGGGCTGTTTAAGGAGATACTGTTTCCTGGGAAAGACAATAACATTAAAGTGGGTGGATAGCACCGATAGTGTGGCTATCAGGTCCTGATAAGGAGCAACCAGAAACAGAGCAGGGTAGGAAAATGCTACAAATTTTCATTCTTAAATCTCTAAACAGCACTTTAAATTTATTTCTTTATATTTTTATGTGCATTGGTGTTTCTCCTGCATGTATGTCTGTGTGAGGGCATCAGGTCCTCTGGAAGAGCAGTTAGTGCTCATAACTGCTGACCCCATCTCACTCCCCCCAAACCAGTTTTTCAAGACAAGGTTTCTCTGTAGCTTTGGAGGCTGTCCTGGAACTCCTCTGTAGACCAGGCAGGCTTAGAACTCACAGAGATCACTGGCTGCCTCTGCCTCCGCCTCCCAAGTGCTGGGATTAAAGGCGTGCACTACTGCTGCCTGGCTCCCCAACAGCATTTTTTTTTTTATTTTTAAATAAATATTTTATTTATTATGTCTTCTGCCTTCTGCCTGCATGCCAGCAGAGGGCACCAGATCTCATTTAAGGTGGTTGTGAGCCACCACGTGGTTGCTGGGAATTGAACTCAGGACCTCTGGAAGAACAGTCAGTGCTCTTCTGACCCATCTCTGTGGCCCCACCCAACAGCATTTTATAGAGGTGTTTATCAGCTGTTTCAATTATAGGTACACTTAAAATATTACAATAAAACTAGTAATTTTGGTACCTTTTAAGCTAAATATTTCTTGGTTAGGGTTACTATAATTGACAAATCAATAATGAAATTAGTTACCAAATACCAGTAAAGGGTCAGTCAGCCTTTTCTTGGTGTTAAGATCTGAGCACGCCGCACACCTTTAATCCTAACACTCGGGAGGCAGAGGCAGGCGGATCTCTGTGAGTTTGAGGCCAGCCTGGTCTCCAGAGTGAGTGCCAGGATAGGCTCCAAAGCTACACAGAGAAAC